AATATAAAACAATCCTCAGGTATAAGTAACACTTCTATATAATATTCAAGGAGTTATAAACAGACAAGATGACCAATTTTCATTGGTTTAGACCATTATCACCAATGACTACCATCTTATTCTCCTTTCTTTAAAGAAATAAATCCAGTGAAAATTACATCTGTATTTATGTTTTGTTGACTGTCATCAAGTCAAATCTGACATATTACACACCTTATAGGGATTACGAGTTGGGGCTCCTGGGTTTGAACTGATACCTTAAAGTTAGCATCCTTATCCTGCTGTACCACAGCAGGACTCCATATGTACATAGAAAAAGAGAGACTTAACTGGTGGAAATGGCTCATGAAAGAGGCTGACATGTGGCCTGTGTTTTAGGCATCAGGTTGCAGGTTTCTCCAGACTCTGGTAGCTGCAGGTTCAGAGGCACTCAAGATCCGCAGGTCCACTCAAACTTTCACAGGAAGTGGAAGCGGAGAAATCTAAGATTGACAGGTCAGAAGGGAAGACAACTGGATGTCAGATGATTGACAGGAACTCAATGCTGCACCGAGTTACCAAAACTATACCTGGTTGTCTATCTATCTATATATATCTATATAAATCTCTATATCTCTCTCTATATATGTAATACTAAGGAGCTCTGGTAGCTTAGTGGTTACTAATCGGGCTGCGAAACAAAAGGTCAGCTGTTCAAAACTACCAGCTGCTCCGCGGGAGAGAGATGAGGCGTTCTGCTCCCGTAAAGCGTAACAGCCTCGAAAACCCTGTGCAGGGTCGCTGTTAGTCGGAACCGACCCCACGGCACATAACAACAACAACATATGTATTACAGACCAAACGGCCACCATTTGTCTGTCAGTTTGTCATACTGTGGTAGCTTGTGAGTTGCTGAGACTCTGATAGCTATGCCACCAGCATTTTAAATAACCAGCAAGGTCACCCATGGTGGACATGTTTCATATGAGCTTCCAGACAAAGACAGACTAGAAACAAAGAGTGATGAACTACTTCCGAATCTTTAGTCACTGAAACCCTTATGAACAGCAGAAAAACACTGTCAGATATAGTGCCAGAAAATGAGTCCTTCTGGTTGGAAGGCACTCCAAATGGGTCTGGCGAAGAGATGCCTCCTCAAAGTAGAACTGAACGTGATAAAGCAAATGGGGTAAGCTCATGGGAGAAAAGCCCGCAGGACCTTCATTTGCTGATTGGGCACCACTCAAAATGAAGAGAGAAAGCTGCAAACTTCCATTGAGAATTGAAGTATATATCTGGGAAAGTTGGAAGTTGTCAAAAATCAAATGGAATGCATACAGATCAATATCTTAGGCATTAGTGAGCTGAAATGGACTGGTATTCTTCATTTTGAATCTGACAACCACATGGTTTACTATGCCAGGAATGACAAATTGAAGAGGAATGGTGTTGCATTCATCGTCAAAAGAACATATCCAGATCAGTCATGCGGTAAAATGCTGTGTGTGATAGGATAATATTCTTGGGACGTAAGGGAAGCTCAGTTAATACCACTATTATTCAAATTTATGCACCAATCACTAAAATAAGTGAGGATGAAATAGAAGAATTCTATCAACTTCTTCACTCTGAAATGGGTCAAACATTCAATCAAGATGTATTGATGATTACTGGTGATTGAAATGCAAAGGTTGGGAACAAAGAGGAAGGATCAGTAGTTGGAAAATATGGCCATGGTGATAGAAATGATACTGGAGAATTCATGATAGAATTCTGCAAAACCAATGATTTGTTCATTTCAAATACCATCTTTAGACAGCATAACAAATGACTATACACATGGACCTCGCCAGATGGAAAACATAGAAATCAAATTGACTACATCTGCGGAAAGAGACCATGGAAAAACTCCATATCATCCGTGAAAATAAGGCCAGGGGGCGACTATGGAACAGACCATCAATTACTCATATGCAAATTCAAACTGAATCTGAAGAAAATGAAAACAAGTCCAAGAGAACCAAAATATGACCTTGAATATATCCCACCTGAATTTAGAGATCATCTAAAGAATAGAATTAATACATTAAACACTAAAGACCAAAGACCAGAAAAGTTGTGGGATGACATCAAGAACATCATACATGAAGAGAGCAAAAAGTCATTGAGAAGACAAGAAAGAAGGAAAGGGTCAAAATGGATGTCAGAAGAGACACTGAAACTTGCTCTACAGCGTAGAGATGCTAAAGTAAA